AAAATAAATGTTATAAGCTGATCATTATCAGGCCTCCACTCAATTAACACTATTAATGTGTCACTAGATTACTGACAAGGCACATTACTTCAACCCCTTCCATTAGGGATGCTTTATGTCCGTATACATTAGTATGGATGCATATTGCCTTCAACAAAATACAATTTGACCACCACAACCATCAGCCTTTTGCTTGATGTTCGTTGTCAATCCTTAATTTCTAATCATCCATCATTGACTTCTCACTTGATTACTATTAGTAGTATACCCTCCAATTATCTCCTTCAGCTCTTCCACCCAATCGTCAATCTTCATCCGACTTCTGCTCAAGTATCATCAAAATTTTGCCCATCTATTAAGAATCCCTAGTTATCCTCCCTAACATTATTACCACTAAATTTTTTTCAAATCACCCTCGCATACAAGATGTAATTGATCTTCTTTTATCAATGGTTATTTATTGAAAGAATAAACTCTATTGTGACTTCTTCTACATAAAATAGGGGCATTGAAGCTTGATAGGGGATGCCACATATCTCAGACTGAAATGTGTCTAATATAAGAAGAAAATTAGAAGAGAAGCAAATGAAAGAAGGAGAATGTTCCTTCTACACTAAATAGGGGCATTAAATTGGGATATGGGATTCCACCTATCAAAAATAATGGAAAGTCTCTAAAGAAAGAAGGAACATGGGGAAGAGATAAAGAAGGCTGAAAAATCTAAGTTTTACACAAGAGAGGGGCACATGTACTTGATAGGGGATGCCACCTAATGAAGATAGTGGAAAGCCTCAACTATAAGAAAGTTAGAGAAAGAAGAGAGAAGAAGAAGAGAAGCGATTTCTCCCCTGTCTCATAGGGGTTATTTATAGGATAAAAAGGAAGGAGGAATATTACGTAGGAATAAGAATATTCCAAAAATATTTTAAGAATAAAAATATTCTGAGAATATTTAAAGAGAATAAAAAATATTCTTTAAAAAAAAAAGAAAAAAAGAGAGGTAAAATCTCTCCCTCTTTCTTTTAAAAAAAGAAGAAAAAATTATCTCTATCTTGTAAAAAAAATGAAAAAAAATAAAATCAAAAAAAGTTTGCGGGGGCACTGTAGCTATTGTTCGCACTGTGAAAAAAAAGACATGGCGGGGTCCACACATTTAAAAAAATTATTTAAACACAATAACCAATTATAACCTTCTAACATAGTGCCACATGCCCTTCCAGTCCGCCTCCGACTACGCGGCCGCTCGACTAGCCTGTTCAGCTACCAACTTGCATTTGAGCCCATTTTCAGCCCGGACAATTTAAATTTGATGTTTTTAAGGTTCCTAGAACCTTCTTTTTTCGATATTTTGGAGTTTCAAGTTGTAGACAAAATTCCTCAGAAGTTGTTAAGCATATTTTTGAACTTCTGGAGCTTCGACATCCAAAAATAAGGGGTAATTGATATATCATCAAAAAATTATCTTGAACAGGTATGAATCTAGAGACAAAATTAAGTTAGAATCATTCATAATTAAATTTGAAATCTTATGAACTCCAACTTCAGGAAACTTATAGTTGAATTAAACTTCTCAAAAAGAAGAATCCAATGAAACTAAATTCTACTCAATCCGAGCCCAGATGGGTTTAAATCAAAGACTCAAAGCACATTTAGAAAGTTCAAACCATAAATTGGATAACCAAACCATTTCCAAACATAACATGATTATAGTCGAATTGAGAGGCTCGACAAGATGAATCCAATGATCCTAAATCAAGGAGATCAACATCAATTGTCCATTAAAATCACTCCTAACTTACCCTCGATCTCCCTCCTATTTAATTTCCATATCACTCTCAGAAAACTATAAACAGATTCCTCATTCCACATGAAAGGAGGAGGGAAGCAAGGAAGAGAAGTAAGAGAAGTAAGAGAGATAAATTAGAGCTCTCTTACAACCAGACTCTTCCTTGACCACCGTTCGACCACCGACCATTGTTGGACTTTTGCCTGGTCAACGAATGATGACTGACTTCTATCTAGCCACAAACTAACATTAGACTTCCACCCAGCTTTTAACTATTATTGAACTTACACCTAAACACAAACTAATGACGGACTTCTGCACGACCATTGACTAACTTCGAACTTCCACCCAGCCATCGACTATGGTCCTTCCGACCTCCGTCGCTAGATAGTTTCAACCTCCATCGCAGACAATGGCCTTTCTAGCCCCTATCGCAGCCAATTAGGGCCTTTTTGACCTCTATCACCATATCATGATCCTCATGATCTCTATAATCGGACGATGATCTTTCTGACTAATATCACCAGCCAACTATGTCCCTTCCAACCTCTATCACCAGACAATAGCCTTTCTGCCACTATTGCCCATCGACTACGATCATTTTGATCTCTGTCACCTGACTGCAATCCTTCTAACCTTCATCACCAGACAATAGTCTTTCTGACCAATATCGCCTGCCGACTATGATCATTTCGACATCCATCATCAGATTATGATCTTTCCGACCTCCGTCGCTAGATAATGGTCTTTCTGACCAATATCATCCACTAACTATGATACTTTCAGCCTTCATCACTAGATTATGATCTTTTTGACCTCCATCACAAGAAAATAGTCTTTCTTACCACTATCACCCACTAACTTATGTCCTTTCGACATCTGACACAAGATTACAGTCCTTTCAACCTCCATTACTATAGAATGATCTTTCTTACCACTGTATATAGGGGTGTAAGTGAGCCAAGCAGGCTCATGAGCTAGTTCAAGCTCGACTCATTTATGGGCTCGGAAGCTGAGCTTATCGAGCTCAAACTCGAGCTCGTTTATTAAACGGGCTCGAGTTCTATCTTGATGAAGCTCGACTCGCGAGTCGGCTCGAATATTATTATTTTTTATTTATTAAATTTGAATATTATTAACAATTAATATATTTCTTTTTAAAATTATAATAACATATATATTATTAAAATTTGCCCGCCTAAAACTTGTTGAATTCAATTTCGAGAATCGGGTGGGATTGAGAACAAACTGAGCATAACAAGCATATTAATATTAAAGATATCCTACAGTATTTAATGGCAACTGCCTTTTATTTTGCAAAATAAATCTAGCATTAAAACTTTTATCTATCTCCCACCAAATTGAATATCCCGCGCAGAAATAGGCCGTCGGGCAGAACGAGCAGTCAGGCCAAATGACCTGAGCTTTGGAACAAGTAGTCAGGTAAAATGGGCAGACGACGCGATAGCAAAATGAGCGAATGACACGGAACTTGCGAATGACACAGACCTATGGCGAGGCTGACGAGCTGGCTCGAGCTTATTTATAATGGGATGAGCTCGAGTTCGAGTTCGCCTTTCAAGCTCGACTCGAGCTGGCGTTCTATCCGATGAGCCAAGCTTTATAGCGCCATTACTCGACTCGTCTCGACTTGTTTATACTCCTAACTGTAATTATCGAATATGGTCCTTCTGACCTCCGTCACCAGACTACAGTCTTTCTGACCTCTGTCACTCGATAACTATCTTTCTGATCTCTGTAACCCACCAACTACGATCTTTTCGACCACGGCCACTGGACTATGATCTTTCCAGCCTCCGTCGCCCACTGATTTTGATCCTTTCGGCAAAACGAAAACGTCAATAATGATCCTTCCAATTCATATATGATGTTTGTTTGTCACATCAAGCAAATGCCTTCCCCCTAAGGAAGGGCCTCATTTTTAATAAACTGAAAATACTTGTGGATTTTTATTCAAACTAGGGCAGACCTCATGGTTTTTCTTCTTTTTAGGATTTTTCAAGTAAAAATTTTGGTGTCTCTCATAAATGCTAAACCTATTCTTTTATCATATTGTGTGTTGGATCTTTGTATAAAGCTAAGCGTTAAACTTTATATTTCTCTATCGTTGAGAAAATTCTAGGACGCAACAAGCTTATTTTGGGATAATTTTCTTAATACTTTATAAAATAATTTTTAATACTTAAAAAATTTTATATAAAAGAGTTATTTTAGAAAATAGTAAAAATGGAAAGTTAAGATATCATTTGAAAAAGCTTTCTTAACAATTTCAAAAACAACTTTTTCGTATAAAAATTTTTAATTAAAAAAAAGTTATGTTAAAAATTTATTTAGAGAGCAGTAAGAAAATCTTCCTAGTGAGGGGATTACCTTGGTGTATGCTTTTTGCTGATGATATTCTTCTTGTTGATAAGACTAGAGAGGGAGTTGAAGGTAAACTTGAATTATGGAGGTCAACCTTAGAGTCTAAAGGTTTTCGCTTGAGTAGATCTAAAACGGAATATATGGAGTGTAATTTTAGTAGTAATAGACCTAGTGAGGGGATTGTGACTTTGGGCGATCAAGTCATTAATAAGAGTACACGTTTTAGATATCTTGGATCTTTTGTTCAGGTGATGGTGAAGTACATGGGGATAGAATTATACCTTTAAAGATTGTATAAATTTATTTTTATAAATCAAACATCAGAACCCTTACAACTGGTGCATTTGAAATAATTCAAACTTTAAATAGAGCAAACCGAAAAGCTCCTAAATTTGGCAAATTATTGCATCCGGTCACTGGATGCGGAAAATAAGTTCGGACATCCAATAAAAATTTGCCGCGTCACCTGCGCTTTAGGTGCGCTTTGCTTGCGCTTTACCTGTATTTTACTTGAGCTTTTGACTGCGCTTTTGACTTACGCTTTAGTTGCGCTTTATCTGAGCTTTATTTGCACTTTACCTGCGCTTAATTTAAAATAATATTTTATTAATATCCGGACCTATCTCCGTGTCCGGTGACCTAATGCAATAATTTGACCCTAAGGCTTCATTTGAGACGGCTTTTTACTGCTTTCTAAAACGGAGTTTAGTACAAATTTTTTTATTTTTGTATTAAAACTCTATTTTAATAAGCAATAAAAAAATCATTCCAAACGGAGCCTAAATCTCTACCAAAAAGCAAATCCCACCCACTACAGTAACTTCCCGTTGTGACCACGGACAGCTGAACAACTCGAACTCTTCTTTCCTTGCCCTCCCAAATTCAAAACATATACAAAACCCTAACCCTAGCTCCCTCCAAAACACTCCAAGTTATTACTCTCGACACTCGCCGCTTGAACTAGCCATCATTTGAAAGTTATAATGGATTCTGTCCTCCTTCAATCCCCCATGAAAGAGCGATCTCCTGACCTCGGCCTTTCCTCGGAGACTACCTACGAGCTTATGCTGCGAGAGTCCATCAAAAGCTTTCTCGGCGGGTTCCACCGAGAAGGGTTCGACTTCGCCGGGTTCCGCTCGGTTATGTCGAGGCAGCTCCAGTCCAGCGTTGACCCGCCTCTCGAGATAGTGTGGCTTTACTCCGCTGCGAGCTACCATGAGAGCGTTGCTGCTAAGAACTCTTTTGACAGGATCCGTGCCGTAAGGGATCTCCTCCAGCTTCTCTCTGCATTCTCTGCTGCTAGCGGCGGCGCTAAGTCTATAGCCCTGATCGCTCCGGCGGTCTATGATTTGTATCAATGCGCAGTGGACGGTTTGGTGGAGAAGAAAGATATAGAGTGCTTAGCGGACGGAATTTTGAGCTATATCAGTATATGCAGTGGTCATTATAGTGATTTGGAAGAGATTTCCACACTGCTGCATCCTTGCTTTCTTGACCTGCTGAAAGTGTGGACGTTGAGACACTCTGGTGCTGGGGCGAGTCTTGAGGCATTCTTTCCGCTGATTAGTAGTGAAGCTCGGAGGAGGTTTGAGAAGGAAGGATCTGGGGTTAGTTATTTAGCAGGTGTGGTAATTGCCGAGTCTTTCCTGCTCAGGTTATGCTTGAAGGTGAAAGGTGGAGGAGCTTCAAGGAAAGAGTTGCAAAAGGAATTAGGAATCTGGGCAGTTAGTTCCATAACTGCGTTCTGCAATCGGCATTTTTTTGGTATGCCATTATCCTTACATTTTGGGTTTATTTTGAATGTAGCCCTTTGATTAGATCGTCTAATGTTTGTTATGTGTGTTGTATTTCTGAACAATTTTTATTAAATTGCATGATTTGGATGGTGCAATTGATATATGGGTTATAATAGGATGTGCTATGAGAATATTCATGGGTAGGTATGGAATAGGAGATAAATGTGTATATGTGTTATGAGAGAAGCTCTACTTGAATTTGTAGAAACATACAATCTTGAGATATTAAACATATATTTTAAGAAATGAGAAAAGTACTTAGTTGCTTTTAATAGTGAAGCCACCAAATCACAAATTGTCTTTTATTTTACGTAGAAGGAATGAAGAACTTTTTTGAAATATTGTAAGACAACTTGTTGAGAAAATTTAACCACATAAATTAGTAAATTATAGAAAAAATGATTAAAATAAATAATTTCTTTATTTATAGATGGTGAAATTTCAAATTTAGGAAGTCATTAATCTTTCAAATTAGATTTTTAAGAGAAAAAAATTAGAATTATATGTACGAGTAAACATTGATGTATGATGAGATATTTAGTTTAATTAAAAAAAATATTTCCATGTAACATTTGTTGCAACTTAGTTTTCCAAACTATGTTTTTATATAGTGTGAATTTTTGATGATACCAAATATTATTGTGTTGATTATTATTTTTCCTGACACATATTAAAAAATTGTGCTTGTGTTATTTGTGTATAGTTGTATACTAACGTTTCAGGGAAATCATACTCCAGACTGCCGAAGACTTCATGACAGATTAGATTAGGGTTTCTTGTAATTGAAGTCTGTACTTTTTTCTATTTTTCTTGAGTTTGAGAGAGTGTGATTATAAGTGGGTAATCGTGCACACACACTGGAGGAGTGAGTCAAAACTTGTATTTTTAAAAACTAATAGTACTGTATGATTTGACCTGAGTATTCCTCCAGAAAGAAGTTAATCGAATCATGCCATGGAAATTTTCTTTTGAACTGTTCATACTGTACGAAGTTAGATTTATACAGACGACTTCAAGAGTACGAAATGTATACGTACCAGTTCGTCCCGAACGAACTCACCATTTTCTATACTTATTATATTATACGAAATTAGTTTTGTACATACGACGTCAAGAGTACGAAATGGGTACTTACCAATTCGTCCCATACAAACAGGTAAATTTTTTGAACTGTTCGTACTATACGAAATTAGTTTCGTACAGACGACGTGTAGAGTACGAAATGGGCTCATCCATGTTCGTACCAAACGAAGTATGATTTGATTTAACAAGTTCATATTGTACGATGTAGGGTTCATACAGACGACTAACAGAGTACAAAATGGATTCGTACAGAATTGTATCAAATGAACCTGTTCAATTTTGAACTGTTCGTACTATACGATGTCAGTTCGTACAGGAGCGTATAAGGATTTTTTGAATTGTTCGTACGTACGAAATACGATCGTACTGTACGATCGAAGTATGTTCACTTGAAAATTTCAATTTTATGGATAGTTTTTTTAGTCTTTCATATATAAGAGTCCTATTAACTGACTGTCCATGGGTCTTCTGCGAATTTTCTCTTGTGAGTGAGAGCGAGAGTGTTTTGGGAGAGTGTTTGGGAGTGAGAATTGAGAGATCTTGCAAGTGGAAATTGTGAAGGGTTCACATGTTTGCCCAAATGTTAGGATCTCTTTGTATGTTCTTCAAATCTCTATCCTACTTCTTTGAAGACTCTTGAGAGAAGATCTTTAGAGAAGACCCGGTACTCTGCCATCACCAGGAGGGTGAGAAAGGACGTCGATACTCTGCCGTTACCAAGAGGGTGAGAAATGACGTCGGTACTCTGCCGTCACCAAGAGGGTGAGAAAAGATGTCGGTACTCTGTCGTCACCAGGAGGGTGAAAAAGGACGATGATACTCTACTGCACCGGGGATTGGTGGAAGAGGTTATTGTAAGGGCTTCTTCGCCTTGCTATGGGAGCAAAAAAAGAGTCACTTTGATATAGTGCAATACTTGAAGGAGGAGTTTTTAGAGAGTGGACATAGGTCTAGTTGGTTCGAACCACTATAAATTTGGTGTTCTTCTGTCTTTATTTTTACTGCATTTTTATTTTCTGCACATTTACTTTTTGTGGTTGAAAAAAATTATTTTATGAAAATTTATTATTGTGCATACAATCTTAAATTAGTTTTCTAAATTATCAAAAGAATTTTTAAATTACCAATTCACCCGCCATCTTGGTTAGCCTTAGGACAAATCTATTAGGTCCATAGTTTGAAATTGCGCAATTAGAGGCGCGCCTTTGCGCAATTCAGCCCCCAAATGCCTCATTGCCTAAGCAATTTTGGGTTCATGTGAGGCGCACGCCTCTTAAAATCGGGTCCCATCTATTTAAAATTAGTTATTTCTTCTATTCTTCCATTTGGTTCTAACTGAATCGAACGAAATTCTCCTGCAAGCCCTCTTCCGTCGCAAACCTTCCGCTCGGCTTCGCTTGGGTTGGCTTTCTGCCACCTCTCCCGCCGGCGCCACCTCACGTCGGTGAGCAAGAAGGGTTCGGCCGCCCTCTACAAGCACACCATTATTGGTTTTAGGTATTTTTTTAGTTCAAGGAAAGTTTTTTCAAGTTATAAAAAATCTAGGGTTTTCTATTTTTTCAGATTTTTTTGCATGTTTTCGCATTTGTGCATTAGGAAACATGATTAGAGGCAAGAAAAAGACAAATACGTCATTGTGGCGTGACCTTTCTTGGAAATACAGTGTACAAGTTGATGTAGGAGGCGACGAGAAGACGTATGTGTATTTAAAATGCAATTTTTGTGATAAGGTGGTGAAGTGAGGAGTAACTCGCATGAAGGAACACTTATCCGGCTTACATAAGAATGTAACACCTTGTGCGAATGTTCCGGATAATGTGAAGGAGTAAATTACAGCTTATATGGAAAATAGTACGACGGCCAAATATTTACAACAGGAGCAATTTGATGAAATGGTCGAACATGGTGCTTACTTCGAGAGCGAGAGTGGAAATGACTCTTCCTCCACTATACATAATAAAGGTAAACGGGGTCCTATGGATCAGTATATGACTACTCCAGGAGAGGATAGAGGACAAGCACAGATGATGCCTGCAGCTGGTACTAGAGGGTCGACGACAGGTTACATGGATATGGCAGATTTTTTTTTTTAGAATGTCATACCATTTAATGTTGTGACATCGTCGGCCTACTTCAATATGCTGCGGTTTGTAGGGTTGTATGGGAGAGGGTTGAAGGCACCTTTCATGTACATGGATTTTGAAGGAGCTGCAGAACACAGAGCATAATATTGATGAGATTAAACGGACATGGATTGATATTGGTGTTATCATTATGTCAGATGGGTGGTTTAATATGAAGAGCAGGAGCTTGATTAATATCCTTGTCAACAATCCCTAAGGCGTTATATTTTTACGATCAGTTGAAGCTTCAGATGAGGTTAAAAATGCTGAATTTATTTTCAATTTACTAGATGGGGTTGTTGAGGAGATTGAGGAGCAATTGGTTGTTCATGTGGTGACTGATAATGCCAGTGCATACAAAGCAGCTGGTCAGATGTCGATGGAGAAGAGGAAACACCTGTATTGGACCCCTTGCGCAGCACACTGTATCGATATCATATTGGAAGAACTTGGTGATTTACCTCAACAAAAGAGCGCTCTTTCTAGGGCGAAGAAGATCACAAAGTTCATATACAACCACTCATGGGTCTTAGCCTTAATGAGAAAGTTTTCAAAGAAGGAAATCATTCGCCATGCAACCACCAAGTTTGCTATTACATTTGTTCACTGCAAATCATTTTCAATTCCTAATGCAAATTTATTCTACAGGTTTGCCACATCTTATTTGACACTGCAGAGCCTGTTGGATGTGAGACAACTTCTTGAAGCAATGTTTACATCAACAGTTCAACACAATGGCTTAATTCTCATGGGAGAAGAAAATATAGGGGAAGGAAATACGAAGGCTAATTTTAAATGATAAATTTTGGGCTACTGTGACCTATGCCATATTGAGCACGAGACCCTTGGTACAAGTTCTACGTTTAGTGGATGCCGAGAAGAAACCAGCCATGAGTTTTATTTATAATGCTATGGTTGAGGCGAAGGAGTTGATTGCACATAACTTGGGAGGAGAGGAGGCAAGTTATAGAGAGATTTGGGATATCATTGATGCTCGGTGGGAGATACAGTTACACTGTCATCTACATGCAGCGGCGTATTATCTCAATCCTCAATTTCAATATTCAGAGAGAAAATCCTCAAATCCGGAGGTGAAACTTAGCTTGTAGCCTTGTATCATTGCATGGAACGACTAATACCGGATCAGACTGTTATGGAGCTTGCAGATTTACAACTTGTTCTATTTCGAAATAAGGAGGGATTTTTTGATTTGCAAGCAACAAAATCAATTATTGCCAAACGGTCTCCAAGTATACTTATTTTTTTGTAAATGCATAACACTTTAATATGTTTTGATTATCATTTTTCTTTTTGAAAATAATTGAATGGTGGATCCAATTTGGTGATTCCACCCCTGAGTTATAGAGTTTAGTTGTTAGAGTTTTGGGACTCATTTGTTCTTCTTTTGGGTGTGAGCGAAACTGGAGTACATATAGTCAAGTACAAACAAAGATAAGAAATCGAGTTTCAACACTCAGAATGAACTCTCTTATGCATATTATGCACAACAAGAAATTGAGAGAAAAGAGGTTGAGAAATAAGTGGTTGAAGGATGATGAAGACCCTTTGGTGTGTGATGATGTGGCATCTGATAATGAGTGATTCATAGATGATGAGACAAATTTGTCATTATCAGACTTGCAACTAGAGGATCTAAGTGTGGATGTCTTGAGGGGCCAAGCAGATCAAGTGAGCACATCCACTAGTACCACACCATACACATCCACTAGCTCTGCAGCACAATAACCAAATAAAGGTATTCCACAACTTCTTATATGCTATTACATTATATTTATATCAAGTGGGCAAGTAACATGATAATGATTATTCTTATTAAATAGGAAAGAGAAAAGTGAGGCACATTGAAAATGATGAAGATATGACATTCATAGATACAATTGGAGAAGAAGATTCTCTTGAAGACCCATTTAGTGATGAGACATGATTGAATTATATATGATCTTTCTTATTTGTACTTTGAGAATTTTGATCGACTAATATTTTGTGGTTCTGTACTTTGGAACATGATTTTATTGCATCTATTTTCTTACTATCCTATAATTTCACTTGTCATTTAGATGTTTTTATTGTTTGATAGAATATTACTATTATTTACTTGCTAAAACCCTTAAATTCTCATTTACGCAAATCTTCATCCGTGAGGCTTACGCCTCACACTGCCTCGAGGCTTACGCTTCGCCTCACGGTCGAAACACGCCTCGAGGCTTATTTACGCAATTTTAAACATTGATTAGGTCTAACAACCTATTCAAACTTTCAACTTTTATAGGTTCTAGAAATAGATTATACAAAAATAAAGAGACTTGGTGGTAGGAGAAGGATGTACAATATATTTTTAAGACAAAAATGTGCTTTCATGGAGTGACAAGAAGTACTATTGGAGTAATAAAGAATATGAGTAAATGAGTAAAGGGCTTTGGATTAGTATGATGAATACTATTTATAAGATATGCAATTTAAATGGTTGTAATGCCAATAATTAATCCTAATATTATTAGCAAATCAATCGATGCTTAAGCATAATAAGTTTAAGTACCTATGATCAATTATTCATAGAATGGGATGTAGATGTGGACAAACTTTGAGATTTAGGACTTGCTAGTTGAGATATAGAATTGCCTTATAAGTACTGTGCTATAAAATAAGATTATGAAGTCTTAGAGATAAATTTTATAAACTTTCATTTAGTTAGGTCATGTTGTGTGGATTCACTGTTGGGCAATAAAAAGACAATTTACAACCAACCTAATTGTGATGGATGTGTGGCAAGTCTAGAAAGAATAGATGTGAAATGATTATACTAGATGGTAGACAAAGGATTAGATAATAGATCTAGGCAATTTGGGCATGTACAAAGGATAGCAGATGTAATAATAAAACATATAGATAAAATTCATGCAGAGAGGTTAATGAATGAATAGATCTGAAGTATCATGTATGTACGTTGTGTGAAAAGAGTTGCACAAAAATATTTTACTCCTAATGCAACACTTAGTAGGAATAAATGTGGAATGAGGATTCATTAAACTTATCCAAATAGTCTATTGATGATGATTATGATATTTAAAGATTACATCATTAAAGATATCCCCTAGCCTTGCGAACTGATCTTTACGAGTTTAACTTGTGTGTTTATGATATTTAATGATTATGAACTATTTTGAATTTCAATTGTGTGTTTATCTCTTGTTGCATGCTGTTCAAGACGAGTTTAACTTTACAATAAAAGATCATTAGTTCGCAACTAACAACCAGAGGCCACTGATTCGTTGGTTCAGTATTATATTAATTTCTGTAAGACTTGGATAATTTTCCTTATCTTGTGTTCTTTGGTAAATGTTTGTAGTAAAACGAAATGGTATATTCTTTTTATTTCTAATCTTTTCAGTTATTGTTTTTTTTTTTTTTCATTTCTCTCGTGTAATTCAATAATCAGTGACTTATAAGCTCACCTAGTTTTTTGTTTTATATCTTCTCATTGCACTTTGAGTGAGTTTTCACTTCAAATTTTGATATGCTGATGTGCAGAAATATTGTTGAAGTTCCTGTTGGATACAAAAGTTATTGCAGCCGCTCTATTGGTAAGTCAAAAACCAAATTTGAGAATCACATGAACTACGTTCAACTTTAATAGCATTTCTTCCTCTACTTCCCTGTTTCCTTTGTCTGCACAATGAAAGTTGGTTATGATTAAACCAATCTGAAAGCTTCCCCAAAAATCCCTAGAGAAAGAACACCTTAGAGTTTCCCCATGAAAAATTAGCCGTGTTACAGTTACTTGTGCCCCTACCTTGTACTTCTAATATCTGCATGTTATCTTATGAAATTTGTTTTGCTAAATGGTTAAAGCTCCAATACATGTCTTGCTACCTGATGTAATTTGTGCAGAGTTGGTTACAAGGATGACAGATCCATGTTGGTTTAGTGTCAATTTCAAATGCTGAATCTTTGCGGATTCTTGTGATTCAAAGATAGATGATAGAATGCAACACTAACATGCTTGTTGCTGAAAAGGACTCTGCCAAGAGCTTACTTATCCCAAATTTGAATAGTAAAATGACGCAAGTGAGATAACATTAGTTCTTACTGATATGGTATGTTTAAATGTTCTTATCTTCTGCATTATAATGCTGTCATCATGACCTTTATTTCCCCGAATGGATGATTTGATTTCATCAAAGCTATAGAGGTGGTAGCAGTAAAATTATTTTTTTTAGGATTCACAAATTGAATATCCACTTCATGTTGCACATGTTTTCTGCCAGTGGTTTTCTAGATGGCATGACTTAACATGATCGCAAAAGTACAGGAGTGCGTTTGTTTTTTGTACAAGAAATTGAGATTACGTGTCATCAGGTGATTTAATAAGGCAGTGAAAGTAGAGATCATAGTGCAATTTGATGTCTTCGTTCATCAAGAAGAGAACAACCTAGTATAGAGGATCCAAAAGGAAAACAAAAGAGGATTGAGAAGATTAGAATATTAATGCCTTAAATATGGGGGAGAAAGAAGGGAGAAATAATGCATGAAGAAGATCTATTGTCAAGAGGAAAGAAGAGGATCAGCTAGAAGAAAGAATGAGCGAGCAAATGCCATCACATATTTAGTTTATTATCATTTTCATTACATCCCTTGGCCTACTATATATAATATTGATGCAGTAAGAAGGCTTTAATAAAAAGTAGATATTTATAGGCATGAATTGGATTTATCTATTTGGCAAGATATAATATGTGGAGCTGTCAAAATTCAAGGAGTTGATCATCATGATACTAAGAAAAAAGAAGAAGAGATTTACAGTATTCTCATCATCCATTTATAGAATGAATATAAGCATCATCAATTTTTAGAAAGTTCTCTACTTTGAAAATTGTTATGCTGCCACTATTGTCATAGAAAAAGTTGATTTATTTCTATTATGATCCTTAGGAATTTGGGAAGAATTAAATTTCAATATAATGATACAAATTAGAAAAAGAAATATTATTTCATTTATGTAAATATTGTGCCATTAGTATTTTCAATTAAGTGTGGAGCAATCAAGGAAGATATTGAACATCTTAAAAGCTATCATTGGGACCTATTCTCTTTACGATGAATGATGGTCGCAATTTTTAGCAAAGAAAAAAAAGCATATGACATCCTCCCGGCTCTCTCCACCTTTCATTAAGATTCTATACAAAGAAGGAAGCTTTGGATGCTTTATAATCAAGGTTCTTTTCAATTAAGATGTTCATCAATTATGCAATCAAATTAAGAAGATTTTGAAACATAATTTTCCTTTCATGAAACTATGTAATATATATATATATATATTGAAGACAATTATCACAGGATATTTTATTAAGGATTTTTTAACGCAAGTTGGAAAAGATTCCTTAAAATAAGGTGATAAAAAGCAATTAAGTTTGGCAAAAAAATTGTTCTCTATTTTATTATACCATGTAAATTTCCTATCAAGGATATGAATATCATCTGTATTAAATTCATTGATGAAGTCTATAAAGAATTTGGGAGGCTTGAATCAATAGAAAACACAAGAAAATATTGAGCGAACATTCTTCTTGAGAAATTTCATTATCAACGTCTCCATAAATGATCTATTTAGAAGATCACTTAGAACCAATGGCAGATTGAAAGTGTATATACAACAAATAATATGTTAGTATATTATGAGAGGACATCCACTGAAATAAAATCCCATGAACATGAAATCTTTGGAGAAATGGCATTAAGGATCACCTAATCTTTAATTTTAGTTACTCTAATAGCTCTCAAAGTATTAGGACAAGGATTAATGCTTTCAAATTCTTGAAAGCAGATTACTTAAGTTTTTCAAGGAAAATGCCTTCTTTAACCAGACTTCTTTTAATAGAAGAGCTAAGCGTATAACCTTTCAAGTTACATCTTCATGAATGATTAGGACTCTAAGAGAAGCAAGGAAAATCTAAAATGTAGATGACCTAATTGTTTGAATTGTGAGCCAAATGCTGCCACCAAGGAACATAATTATCCTTCTTCCCCTTGGAATTTGATTGAGAATAACAACAACAATAAGAAGCCTTTATCCTACTATGTGGGTTCGGCTATATGAATCATTTTTCTATATTGTGTCCTATTAAGAGCCAAATTCTTATTTAAATCTAATAAGAAAATGACACTAATAATACTTTATAACCAAGTCTTTTTTGTTCAAGTATTTTTTGGTCTATCTCTACCTTTCTTAACATAGGACATATCTGATACATCTACTCTCCTAACTAGGTCATCAGAAGGCCGACGTTTTATGTGACCAAATTAGGGGTGTAAAAGAGTTGAGTCGATCACAAGTCACTTCAAACTCGAGCTCGAATTTTCACTAAAATAAAAAGCTCGAAATCAAGCTCGAGCTTGAGTCGAGCCCAGCGAATGAGCTCAAACTCGGCTCGAGCATTCTTACTCCGGCTCGAGAGCTCGACTCGATATACAGTCAAGCGGCTGGGTTTTTTCTTCGCCGACAAAGTCACAAACTGCAGGTCCGCATGCGTGGAGTTTGCAGCTGGAGCCTACTCTCGGTGAAGAAGCTAACAACATTTTTTTTAAATTTTTTTCCTTAAAAAGCTATAGAAAGTACTAGTGATAGGACTTTTTTTTTAAAGCTGCTATTGTACAACTTTTAAATGATGTTATTAAATATATTAAATTTTAATAATAGCTGTTTTAAATATTTATTTTACCAAAAAAATATTTTTTTGAATACTTAATTTATTTAAACCGGCTTGCTATCCTACGAGCCGAGCTTAGTTAAACTCGAACTTGAGTTGAATTTCGAGCTCGTGGCTCGAAGCTTGACTTGCGAGCTCAATAAAGAGTCAAGTTTGAACCAGCTCACGAGCCGGCTTGGCTCATTTACACCTTTAGGCCAAATCATCTAAGGTGTCTCTCTTTAATCTTATCTACCATTCGATAAATGTTTTTTTCCAACTCCATTTAGATTTGGAATTGGGATCTTCTTTTTAAAGTAATGATGAAATGTCTTGGGTTTTGATGGATACTGATTGGAAGATATGATACAAACATTTTAGTATATCAAAATTGTATCTGTAAAGCCTTATAATTCCTCAAGATTTTTCTTCAAATCACAATAATTTTATTAAATTTAGAATCTTAATGTTTTAGCCATAAGGTAATTTGCCTTGTTGCTCCTAAGATTGCCTAAAAAGTCTTATGTTATCACCCAAAAAAAATGATGCATTGGCATTGATAGAGAGAGAGAGAGAGAGAGAGAGCTAGAAAGAGGAACCTAGATAATTCCCTTCTTATAAATGTAAAAGGAAACAAACCCCCAACCTTTTTCTCTCTTGTTTTGCCTTTATTTCTAGTAGTTAGGTGTCTAAAAGGCTTTCCATCTCTAGTAAAAAAAAAAAAAACAAGTGGCAAGATTGCAATTTGACAATCCGACCTTGATGCTCAAATTAACGAGTCGGGAACAAACAGTCGGATGGTTAATTAAAAATTTTCAGTTAATCTAAAACTATCCCAATAAATTGAAAGAGTCACTAAAACCTCAAAAAAAATATAAATTGATATAAAATGAATTAAAAACCTTTCATTTGGTATGTTATGTCTACGATACACATTTTCACCTCTTATACTCATTTTAATTATATTAATTTATACTTGAAAATGTTAGAGTAACTAAAAGTAAGCCACAACTCAGTGAGTAAAATGTGCTTCTAAATTACAATAATTCAAAAAAATTAGAACAATATGCATGAGCATTTCAATTCATATCATAAAGTAATTTCATTTAGATTCATTTCATTTCAAAACTTTCAATATTATGCATATATATATATATATATATATATATATGTGTGTGTGTGTGTGTGTGTGTGTAATCTCATATAATCTTCTATACATATTATGATTAATTAATTTCTAATATTAATTTTCTTATAATATTTATTATAAATATTTTATTTTATCAAAATAATACTAATAAAAGAATAAAAATCTTACCTTCTCCCAATCATCGAAAACCCTCGCCCATGCTCGCCTAATCCTTCTCTCTCGCTTTCGCTCTCAATCTCTCAGTTGGCTCGATCGCAGGTGCCTCCTTTTTCTCCCACTCTCTTCCTTTTTGTTTCTCTCTATTTCCTTCTCTCTTCTTCTTCTTCCTCTTAGTTAGAGTTTCTCTCAGTTGACGTTTTCTCTCGTGATTTTATCCTACAGGAGTGAGAGAAACTGAGATATTTCGCATGAGGAGTTATTCTTCTTCACAATCGTACTCTTTCCTTCGCTCAATGGTTCCATCCAACTCTGGCTGGGGAGTCTAACGGTCATGAGTTGTCCGTGTTCCGCTTGGCTTGCTCATGCAGGTTTTCATTTAGGGCTGGCCGATATTACAATGTGGGCTCAATTGTAGGAAAATCATTGGTAAATGTGTGAACGGGCCAAACATGAATGAGTGTGAGCTTATTCCTTTTAATTTGTTAATTATTGAGCAAAATATGGGCAAACTCAAGTTTCTTAATAAGTTGACAATTTTTGTTTGTGTTCAGCTCATTATTATCAACCCAAATACAAACGAAAAAACCAAGTCAATAACCGTTACTTGCTTTTTTATTTATGGAAGGCTTTCAGTGCTTGAAAAAATATTTGTGATCATTTTATAACATTTTTATGACACCATAAAATTTTAAATGTGAGGTCCATAATTTTAGAATAATTTTGATAGCTTTTTAATAACAAAATACTAGTAAAATGCATAAGAATGAACCTTATATATATATTATTTATTTATTTTCATAAATTGAGCTCTTATCAATATAAACATGGTTGAGCTGACTTTTTTTATTTATGCTTGACTCACTTGACAAATGTGTCAAATACGTTGTTGAGTTTAACATATGCTGGTTGTAAACATTGAACTTTGTTAACTCCCTAATTGCAAGAGGTTTTACCTGTTTTGATACCGATAAATGCAAAGCGGGCATCTAAGCAATGATGATGTGGCAGGCAAAGGGATTATGATATATAAGTGTCAGTGTAGGGTAGGGAATGGCAAGGGGGGGTTGAAGCAGGGAAATGTGACTACATAAGAATGAATTCTTATAAAAAAAATATGCATGAGAATATGAAGAAGGCTAATGATTAAGAGAAAGGAGGAGGATCTATCAAGAAAAAGGAATTCTAATGCAAATGTTATTTTCTTATTCATCAATCAATCATTCTCTTTTAACTCTTGGTTTATTTTCTATATAGTACCCATATTTTATGTTCAAATAATGTAGCACAGCATAAAAAACAACACAAAAAAAGACTTCAACGGTGATAAATGACATTAGATAGAAGATTATATATGCCATTGAATTTGTAATAAGGATTAGGAGTGAAGGGTAGACAATGTGGTTATCAAATCAGTAAATAAAATTAGTATTAGAATATTAGGAAGGAAACGATGATATTTCACCACATGAATAACTCATTATTTTCATTTTCTTGCTTTTAAGACCTATAATGCCTAACACCTGTTTAGAATCAGGGAAGAAGAATGTAGTTCATCTATTTTTTTGTCGTTATTTTTTTACAAAAATGTTTTGAACTTCGCCTTGATGTAAATTTAAAGGGACCATATTCTTTTCATTTTATGTATTCGTTGTGTTCCTTAATCGTCACTTTTCTTCAAGTGGACATTTGTGGGACATGGAGAGGTTACCCGAGGTAATATGTTCTTGTTGATCTGCATGCATAAACTTAAATTTCGGAGTACCGATCATTTTACAAACATAGGATGTTTACACAGTAACTTAATATATTCTTCAAATCAGAATGCTGATGATGAAAAGCTTGCAAGAGGAGTCCTCTATGATGCTGTGGTTTTGGTGGATTATTCTTTTCTTTTTTCTGGGAAGGAGATAGGTCAGTCTGATAGGATAAGGAATCTTCTTGTAACAAAGCTGATTGTAACAAATGAAGCTGTCAAAATTGCCAGGTAAGCTGATAACAACACATTTCTTCATGATGTGCAACTAGCAGAACTGATGTTCCATTTTTTGATCACAGGACAGGAGGGGATCATGGCCAAGCCATCTCCTATCTGAATGCATACGCAACTTCATCTCTTCCAAGTGAACTGATCAATTTGGTTCGCAAACAGATTGGAGATTTGAGCTCCGAAAAGCCTAATAACAATTCACCTGAAGGTCTTCTCAGTGAGTATCTATATATATTTTTTCTTTGATCACTTATCATAGTAACAAGTGGTACAGATCTAAGAAATCTCTGATGAGATGATTTTTGCATTTTTTTCTCCTTTTCTTTGGTAGAGTGGCTAGTTATTCTTCAACAAATGAGGAAAATAAGTCTTGACGATGAAGCTTCAAGATATGCAATTCAGTTGATATCTGAGGAGTCCAATCTACTTGCAGTGGAGTCTGCATCTGCTGAAGACAAAAAGATGGATGCTGATTTATTTTTTTTGGATAAAGGCGAGTCAAATGGTGAGGAAATGGAGTCAATGGATGCCGTATTTTCCTCTGCTGCTCAATCCATGAAACAATTCTCGAGCAATGGAAGAGTAAAAAGGAAAAAATCTATAGGTCAAGAAGGAAATCGGTTCAAATTTGTCAAGTATGATGTTCACAACGACCTGCTTGAAGATTCTGTCATTCCTATTATAGCTGATGGTGCAAATTGTGATAGTGCAGTTGAGAATCCACCGTCAGATGCAGATATGGAAGAATCTGACTGAGATTTCAAGGTTCTTAGTGGATGGCTCTCTGACACTTTTTGCTGTAGGTAGAAAAAGCATCCAACAAAATACAGTATTAATTTGGATGATAGTTTTTTTTTCACTTTGTTTTAGAAAAGCAGAAGAGAAACTGTAATTTGAAGAGTAACTTTTAACAGCAAAAATCAAGTCTTTTGCAGATGGAACTTTCCCATAATTTTTTTGCGCGAATTACATCTTAAATTTATGCACACACTTTAATATGGTGCAAAACTACTTGTTCATATGAAATTTGGTGATCTCATTAAGTTTGGCTCTCTATCTGTTATGTACAGTTGAGGCATATTTTTATTTTTTTATTACCGTTGAAAAATTTTCCGTGATCCTAGGTAGGGTATAGAAAATAACCTTGATTTGGTACTAATCTTGAGGCATATTTGAATTATAAATTTTTAAAATTAAATATTGGATTATTTGAATTCCAATTCCAATAAATTTATAGTCGATTAAATGTCTTCACAAAACAAGTTTAATGATATAGAGAAATGGACCAATTTGAGTTCAAATGTGCTTAAATCAAGGGCCTGAAGTGTAATTGAAAATTTTAGTATAATAATTGGAAGATTAAACGATTTTCAAATGTGGCATGTTTATAGTTAAATTGAGTAGTTTGATGTGGCAAATCGAAACAAACTTAAGATTATTTAATTTTGATATCACTAAGGCATTTAAATATTGAATGAAAGTTTTATGATTAATAGAGTCAATATGAGTTGTTCGATGGGATGTTCTAGATTTTTTTGTATTCATAGGCGTGTTGCTCTCAAATATTTATAAATAGCTACCCCTTTTTTATATGAGGCAGCAGCTTGAAGTTTGAGCTTGACTTTTAGCTTGAGACTTAAAAGAGCAATGAAACTCTAAGGATCATGGAATAGCACCAAAGCAAAATCACATGACCATTATCCTGATCATCATTGTTGATCATGTCAGCCAACCATTACTATACTTTTGACCTCCGATACCAGCAGACTATGATTACCATCACCCGACCACAATCCTCAACCTCTATCGCACGACTATGATCCTCCGATCATCGTCAGCGGGCTATGATCCTCAGACTATCATTGTTTGACTACAATCTTCTAACCTCCGACACCCAACTATAATCTTTTGACCTCCATCACCCTGACTTGAGTCCTCCAACCTTGATTTTGTATTAACTATCGTTGACCGACCACAGTTCTCCAACTACAGTCCTTTTAATTTCATTGAAGTTTTTATAAATATGAAATTTTGGTTGGGAGCGCTGCTGTGTTGAGTTTGTGAAGCGCTGTGGCACCAAGCTCTTGAGTTTACAAAGGTATGAGTGAGTGCTACGACACTAAGGATTTGACCCCTATCCTGCTGAATTTGGAATTTTATTTTTTTGATAAAATATCTAAATCTATTTTGATAAAAATCTTCTCCCACCAGTCCCCCTCCCCATTTCTTTGCATTGTCAAGTGAGAGAGGTGTGTGAGAGAGAGAGAGAGAGAGAGCATTTTTTTTCTCCTCCTTTTTCCTTCTCTTTCCTCCTCACTCTCTCTCTCTCTCTCTCTCTCTCTCTCTCTCTCTCGTAATTTTGATAAAAATATAATATTTCTTGTTCCAGTGAACTTTTAATGTGTACATTTGATATGGTAGATATCATCACCCTCAATATTTTGACAGATTAATATTGAAAATTCACCTATTGATTTTGCATATATGCCATTTTATTTGAAATGAGTATAGTAATAGCAAGTAAAAAATAACCAGGGTTCAATATATTATATCTAGACATGAGATACATGATATGCACAAATTAATTATTCATTTGGCATAACATGTATTTTGGCATAATACATACATACATACTGATGAGCATATTGTATATATTTACATGCTATAATTATTGTATAAGGTGTGTACATGATGTCTATTATTTTGCTATATATGACATGAAATATATGTTAAAGCAAGAAAGACCAGTTGGAAATGATTAACTGATCCAGATTGGTCGAAGGCATGTTAACCTATATATGAGGGCAAGCCAACAAGATTTTCTTGAAATAAGAATTGTAATGTAATCCTAGGTGATATGAAATGTGAGATATAATGATATTGATTGATATGATATAATACATTGATGAGTAGAAAGTGATGACTTCTTACATGAAAGCCACTTGACTTGTGACATGTGATATGTGATTGATTCTTGTCTGTAGGACTGATATAATTGAGATTAATTCATGTTTGGTCTAAAAGGGCCTATAGGACTTGATATAGGAAAAACACTCCAAGTAGTTAGATATTCAACCTTGCTTATAACATGTTGGTTACAAGCTAAAATTGCATATTAATTGAATAGGCAATGACATGGTAATAATATGAATGATATGAATATGATACAAGCCATGGTTGATACAAGAATATGATAATACTCATAAGATTGATATTATGATATATGATGCATATCAAATACATGAACAGGGATGTAAACAAGTCTAACCGGGCTTGATTCATGCCTAACTCGAGCTCGGCTCACCTATTGAATCATAAACTTAAACTCAAGCTTGAGCTCGGCTCGTACAATAAAGGGAAGCTTGTGAGCCATCTCATGAGCTCGTAGTAAAAGGGTTGGTTTGTTGCCCAATGCTATAACCCAGAGAAGAAGAAGATGACATTACATTTTTTTCTTGTGGAATGTGGACACGATCACAGTTGTAGAAGACTTATTGTTGCTTTTTCCCTAAGAGAAAAGACCTTGCATAACATTTTATATAATTTTTTGAAGCTCATTAATACTTGCGTTTTTTCATGGGTGACCTTGGGTGACTATTGCATTTTTTCTTGTGCAAAGACAAGGCCTAAAATGCTCATTAATGCTTAAAAAAATGCTCATTAATGCTACAGTTTTTTTGCTTTGGGTGATGTTTTATATAATTTTTTTGAAGCATCTACCACTTTAGTAGTAGTTACTGCTACAATATTTATTAGTTGTAGTCGTTAATTTTTTAAACTGCTTAAATGTAATAATAACATTCATTGGATCCAGCTCGCGAGTTCACGAGTCGAGCCTCATTAAGTTTGAATTATAGCTTGTTTAATAGATGAGCTCGAGTTTGAGCTTTAGCTCGAGCTTACACCTCGATTCAAAAGCCTCGTTATCAAGTTGAGTTTGAGCCAGAAAGAGAGCTAACCCAGCTCAATTATACCCCTATACATGATATACATGATATATTGTATCTAATATAAAATATGATATATAGGCATTGATAATGTACGATATGCATAGAATAGATGCAGAATACTTATTTGATATGATATATATCAAATAAGGACTTCATGTTTAATTTTGTTTATTGTATTTTAGTTTTATTCTTTTGTAACCGAAAGTGTTTAATGATAGATTGATATTGCAGATAGAACTTCTAGTTATTATACATGAATTATGAGAAATATAAAAAATTATAAATGGATATATATGACTTAATGCATATGATTTATAGTTGCTTTAGTTATATGCATTTAAACTAATAAATTATTAGAGGCTTTTGTAGATAAAATAAAAGATAAAAAGTTAGGGCATCATAAAATGGTATATGAGCAATGGTTAGTAGAAAAATTAAATTGTAATCAAAGCTATAGGAATTGATTAAGATGAGTAGAATTAGATAATTCTAAGATGCATTCATTTTTGCATTAGTGATTATATGCATATGTATAATCGAATTATAATTTGTTAGAAAAGAGAATTATGCTGAGTGTGATGAACCCATCTGGTCATGAAGAACCTAATGAGCATATCACAATGGCCCCAATAAATTATGACAACATGATGCAATTTGTTAGTTTGATAGCTCAACTGATGAATGATACTAAGAATAGATAGTTTAAGAGAATAGAGAATGAGGAAGACAAACACTTATATATGTTCCATAGGTTGAAGCTTCTATTATTCAAGGGACCTGTAGAGCCACAAGTATTGGAGGATTAGTTACTAAGAATTAAAAAGTTATTTGGCATCATGCAATGTCTAGAGATAAGAAAGTACCATTATCAGTGTTCTTGTTTGAAGGTGAAGATGAAAGATGGTTGATAGGACAATAGAGGGAAAATTTTTAGGGCAAATTGAATACATTGATTACATGGGAGGAGTTTGTTAGCACTTTTAGAGACTGATTTGTTCATCCGTTAGCATGACAAAAAATACAAGAGGATTTCATGAGGTTAGAGTAAGGGAATAAGACAATGCTGCAATATGAAGATGAGTTTACTACATTTGCCATGATGCACATCAACTAGTTATCACTATTGAGAAACAATACTATAGATTTTTAATGGGATTGACGGATGAATTTACACACTCATTGGTACCATTAAGGATTCAAGAATTTTCAAAATTACTTGAGAGAACAAGGTTAATAGCTATTCTCCAGTTTAGAAAGGATATGAGTAAGAAGAGCACATGTGAAGAAGTGACTAGTGGAGAAGGTAGTGACAAGAAAAGAAGGTTTGTTGATTTAGGAGATGACTTATGGTATCACTAAATAACATGTTGGAGTGTCCCCAATGTGATAGGAGGCATGTAAGATAAAATTTTCTAATCTCAAGATGGTGTTTTAGATGTGGCCAGTATAAACACATGAATGATTGCCATAAAGAGGATATGGAGAGAGATTAGTATCCATGACAAATCAGTTTAGATAGATATATTGATAGAGAACTGCATGAACTAAGATTTCCAGTAAAGGTTCAATGAGTAGGACAGATGAGATGAATGTGAATGGCAAACAGAGAAGCTCACATCATCGCAATGATAACACTAGTATATGTTTGGGTTTAAATAAGGGGCTTTGAAAGATTTAGTTTTCTTTGAAAATTTTAACTTCAAAATTGAACACTTCATTATGAATGATATATCGCTTCAGGAGGCGATGATATAATTCTTTAATAGATTTGGATAATGAACCTAAAAATTTCATCTGGGTTATAATTGTCAAATTCTAGGAAGGGTGGTGGTGTTTTAGATGTGGTCAGCATGAACACATGATTGATTGCCCATAAACAGGATATGGATAGAGATTAGGATCCATGATAAATCAGTTTAGACATATATATGGATAGAGAATTACATGAACTAAGCTGTCTAGTAAAGGTTCAATGAGTAGGATAGATGAGATGAGTGTGAAT